TATGATTTTTGCTACTTTCTTTTTGATAGTATTGGTCTCGTTTAGAGTATCAGTCTAGTCACTCAACTAATCCACTCGTGGAGTGCGTTTGGTATAGTAGTAGTCTGGTAGTTGAGACTTCACCCTTTCTTCTTCAGTAAAGCCGAGCCCAACTATTATATTAATTACGCCAAACATGGCTTTAGAGGCTCTTACTAGATAGGGCGGTAGAATAGAAGTCTCACTACTAGATTTTAGTCTTAAGCAGGCAATGGCGGTCAGGCATACTCAAAATCGGTTATTTGGCCTGATCGAGCAACCTATGAACAGTTGTCGCCTACATAACCTACCTCCCAGACCAAGGGAAGAAGGTATCAGATCACTTTTGAGAGCCCTTTTGTTAAACCAGTTCCTTTACTCTTTTTGAATGAATTACAGTCAGTAAAGTAATCTGGTGGAAGGGGTCGTCCATAGAAAAATATTAACCCGTCATTATTCGATTGAGATCAAACTCATTTCTTTGGTGAAGGCCCTTGGCCCTGAGGGTATTATTTCGAACTTTTGTCGAAATATTAACCCGTCACTATTCGATTGAGGTTGAACTCTTCTCTTTGGCAAAAGGCCTTGGCCTTAAGGGTGTTATTTCGAACTTTTGTCGAAATATTAACCCGTCATTGTTCGATCGAGGTCGAACTTTTCTCTTTGGCGAAGGCCCTTGTCATTGAGGGTGTTATTTCAAACTTTCGTCGAAATATTAACCCGTCATTGTTCGATCGAGGTCGAACTTTTCTCTTTGGCGAAGGCCCTTGTCATTGAGGGTGTTATTTCAAACTTTCGTCGAAATATTAACCCTCCATTATTCGATTGAGGTCGAACTCTTCTCTTTAACGAAGGACCTTGGCCTTAAGTGTGTTATTTCGAACTTTCGTCGAAATATTAACCCGTAATTGTTCGATCGAGGTCGAACTCTTTTCTTTGGCGGAGGCCATTGGCCTTAAGGGTGTTATTTCAAACTTTCTTCGAAATATTAACCCGTTATTGTTCGATCGAGGTCAAACTCTTCTCTTTGGCGAAGGTCCTTGGCCTTAAGGGTGTTATTTCGAACTTTCGTCGAAATACTAACCTTTCATTGTTCAATCGAGGTCGAACTCTTATCTTTGGCGAAGGCCCTTGGCCTTAAGGGTGTTATTTCGAACTTTCGTCGAAATATTAACCCGTCATTGTTTGATTGAGGTCGAACTCATTTCTTTGGTGAAGGCCCTTGGCCTTGAGGGTGTTATTTCAAACTTTCGTCGAAATATTAACCCGTCCCTATTCGATCGAGGTCGAACTCTTCTTTTTGGCGAAGGCCCTTGGCCTTAAGGGTGTTATTTCGAACTTTCGTCGAAATATTAACCCGTCATTGTTCGATCGAGGTCGAACTTTTCTCTTTGGCGAAGGCCCTTGTCCTTGAGGGTGTTATTTCGAAATTTCGTCGAAATATTAACCCGTCGTTGTTCGATTGAAGTCGAACTTTTCTCCTTGGCGAAGGCCCTTGGCCTTAAGGGTGTTATTTTGAACTTTTGTCGAAATATTAACTCGTCATTGTTCGGTTGAGGTCAAACTCATTTCTTTGGCGAAGGCCATTGGCCTTGAGGGTGTTATTTCGAACTTTCATCAGAATATTAACCCGTTATTGTTCGATCGAGGTCAAACTTTTCTCTTTGGCGAAGGACCTTGGCCTTGAGGGTGTTATTTCGAACTTTCGTCAAAATATTAACCTGTCGTTGTTCGATTGAGGTCGAACTCTTCTCTTTGGCGAAGGCCCTTGGCCTTAAGGGTGTTATTTCGAACTTTCGTCGAAATATTAACCCGTCATTGTCCGATTGAGGTCGAACTCTTCTCTTTGGCGAAGGCCCTTGGCCTTAAGGGTGTTATTTCGAACTTTCGTCGAAATATTAACCCGTCATTGTCCGATTGAGGTCGAACTATTCTCTTTGGCGAGGCCCTTGGCCTTGGGGGTGTTATTTCGAACTTTCGTCGAAATATTAACCCGTCGTTAGTCCTAGTTTTCATTTTTTGAAAGTTGGGTATCCACTGGGTGAGTCTAGTTATTTTTTGAGAGTTGGGTTTCCTTTGGTGGTGGGTCCCAGTTTTTTTTTTTTTAGAGTTGGGTTGTCAAGCGAACGATATTTCAGTTGTTTTGTAGTAATTTCCCATTCTTTAGTTGAGATGATTTTTGCTCGCTCGCCCGCTCGACGCTTGCGTTCCTGTTTGAGTGAACAGCAGAAGGTGAGCCAACATGATATTCTCCTTCCCCCGATTCGAGGAGTTGGTGAATGAGGGTGGATCTATAGCGTTGCTTGTTTTGCTTGGTGTTTCGATGGCTGATGGGGTGGTTGCTTCTGAATTCGGTAGCCGTATTCAGCTTTCTTTCCCCTCATTTTTCAATCCTTGGCCCCGCGCGGTTTCGGGCTTGCTTTGGCTGGTTCCTGGGCTGCCCCGCGTGCGGGGGAGGATGCTGGTTGTAGCTTCCGTTTGCATGTAGCATCATGATCTAGTTTGGCATGTGAGGTTTACTTATCGCTCTTTTCGGTGGTTGATCATGTTTACGGTTTTGGATCTGGAAGAGACTAGAAAATTTCACTAAGAAATCCCCACAGACGGCGCCAAATTGTTTGACCAAAAGATACTGAAACCTTTTTGATTAAATCAACTAATGAAGATGAATAGGTAAATCTTAGTCACACACAGTAAATTCCAGATCTACAAACGGATAAGAAAATAATGCATGAGACAAAAATAGGGGCGATCAATCTCATTGATCTTTTTCATTTCTTTTTCCACCAATTGATGGAGATAATCTGTTTACATAATGAGTGGAAGATTGTTTTATCTTCCTTTTGCTAAGAAGATTATAGAGGAGAGGAAAGAGAGAAAAAAGCCCCTCTTTCTAGGAAGGTTCCCTCCCTATATATAGTCATGGAGTCCTTGTACGTTCTTTGGTCAAGACACCTTCATACCACGTCTGTTTCCGTCGTCCCCTGAGTATTGTTGTTCGACTTAGCGAGCACTGTGAGTACGTGGTTTGAAACAAATCATGGCGTCTTTCGCTATCCCGTCGCTTGGAGGGGATCCCAGTTGAATCGACCACAACGATCAGATTTTGACCAATTCAAACTGTCACTTGTTTTATTCAAATATAATGGCAACAAACATGAGGTAATCTAAAATCATTTACATTTTCTCATGTTCGAACTTTTTATGCTACCCAAATTTACTTGGGACTAATTTTCTCTTTTTAATGAAAGAAAGTAAAAGTTGCCTGGTTTTATTGAAAAGGACAAAAGGAAACAATAATCAGAGGGTGACTTGAGACTTGTCCGATGCTTTAATGACGAGGTAAAGGAAATGGAATAACTCAAACTGCAAACAAGAAGACCATATAGATAATATGTGTTATCTAGTTTTTTATAATATATCTGCCATTATTATCAAAAAAAAAAATGTGGATAGAAAGCAATTGGGGTTGGACATTGGTGTTTTTTAATTTGAAATATAAAGATCTCTTCACGACTACCACCTACTCCGATAAAAACAAACGGAAGAGTTTGATGATTTTTCGTAGTACTACAAATAGTATTCATTAGACTGCTACAGTATAATTTTATCACTAATTCTGGCAAAAGAAAAGAATTTACATTCTGCATCTACTTCAATTGCTGGAATATGATAATAATGCCATAGATAGAGATTATATCATATCAAAATGGAGCTTTCAATTGATTATTTTCTGTAATCAGAAAAGAACATGTCACTAAGAAAACGAGGGAATATGAAAAACGTTATGCGGAAAGGGTTTGCGCAAAAACTTGGTTGAATAATTATGGCCTTTTATTTTATTTTTTAAAAAAAATAAGAAATTGTAAGTGGTTAGTGAAAGAAGATTGTTTGATTGAAAAAGTGTCTCAAATATAACTTCCTTACCCAAAATATTGTTTTCAAGCAAATAACTTTCTCAAATTAGTTTTCAAGCTCAAAAGTAGAAACTCGAATCTTGAGAAGGAGGAAGAAATCATTTTAAAGTCTAGTATGACAGAGGTCACAAAAAAAGAAATCAACTTTGCTTTCAACATCAACGTGCAAAATTCACCGCATCTACTCTTGCCCTTGTTAAAGCAAAAGCATTATTCTCTCGTTAGTTCAACAAACTTTATGGTATTCTAACAAGTTAGTATATACTTCATATTCAAAATTCCACGTTGGTTTGTAACGTCGCAGCAGCATGAAAAAAGAATGAGAAAAGAGAAGAGATATTAGAAGCAAGGATTTAACTTACATATACTTAAGGGTCGTTTGGTTTGAATACGGTTTATGGGGATAAATTATGCTGAGATAAGTTATGATGTGATTAGTTATGCTGAGATTGTTTCTTATCCACTGTTTGGTATGTTGTATCAAAAATGATAATTGCATAATTTCTAAGAGGGTATAAGTTATCCCGGTGCTAATTACCACACCCTCTATAAGGTATAAGTTACCCAGTATTAATTTTAATCCCGGGATAACTTATACCTAATTTGCTAACCAAACAAAGTATTAAAGTGGTATTAAATTTTTATACCAGCACTATACCTTCTTATACCTCGTACCAAACAATCCCTTACAATGTAAATAAATTTTATAATATTTTGCACCAAATAACCTCTTATATTTTAAGATAATAATCTCATTTATATATGGAAAGTCTCTATATTTATTTTGAAAATGCTAAACTTTTTTTTCCATATTAATATTATAGAAATTAAACTCAAAAACGAAAAAGGAAAAAGAAAAGAACAAAGGAGAGAGTAAAAAAGGAGAACGATGAAAGACAGAAAACAAGGAAACCTAGCACAGCAGCGCCATTGTTTACGCGTAGCCGGTAATTAAGGGAGTAATTTAGTGTGTCATAATTACGGCTAATAGCAACGTATATTTGTTTTTCCATAGAAAATGACAGTTATAAACTGACAAAAGAATAAGATCGGAGAAGACAACTAGCGAACTAAACTAAAATATTCCAAACGTAGTGTAGGGTCTATGACTAATGATTGTCTGTTTACAATTGTTGTGCAGAGACCACAAAACCGAAAAAAACCTCATCCTTGAACATGGGCTTCATGATGTTTTCTTTGACTTAGCTTCTCGATAACGTTCTTTCACACGTACAGAAGAAGGTTTATTTATCTTTATTCCGCACAATAATTAATTTGTTTGACGTAAATGCTGAGTCCATCACTATTCATCAAGTCTTTTTCTTTAGGCCTCACCATGTTGTGTCTTTCTTGTTCAAGATTCTGATTTACTAAACGAAATCAAGAAACGACTATTTCGAAGTCGCACCCACGTTCCCCATTTGCCCACATTTCATTTGTTTAGTACAGCTTCACCATTTCTCATGTTCTAAGGTTCCTACCTGTAATTGAGCAAGACCCAGAAGTCTAAGAGAGAGCAGTGGGTTAAGAGGTAAGTCTGAGTTTTGAACTACTAACATTGTTTTAAGCTTTCTTCTAATGACAATTTGAGGGATCTGGGTCTGTCAAGTTTACCTTAACTACTGAATCTGGGTGCTGTTGACTTCAGTTTTAGTACATTCTTGCAATCTGTTGATCTGGGTTATTAATATTTTCTTTATTTTAGGGTTTATAGCAGTAGTTTTGGCTTCAAAGGTTGAATCTTGGCCAATAGTGCGACTTCATTTTGAGGCTTTCATATAGTGGAGATATAGTGTTTGAGGAAAAGGGTTTTGCATTCTTGGATCATCAACTGGGATTTAGGCTATTTGTGTGCAAATGAGGGGTTTTGAGAAATTCCAATGTGGAATTTAGAGGTTTACTGTACAATTCCTGATTAAAGTTGAGACCTTTATTGAAAATGGCCTCTCCAGATTCTTCCCCTTCTGTTGTTCCACTCCCAGTTTTCCCTGCAGCTTCACCTTCAAATTCTAGTTCTAGTACATCCCCTCCTCCACCTCCAGACTCTTCAGCTCCACCTCCTCAATTCTCTTCTCCACCAGCTCCGCTTTCTCCTCCTCCATCAGAGTCAAAATCACCACCACCTGTAGAATCTCCTCCACCTCCTTCGCCACCACCTCCGACAGCAGCAGCACCACCACCGTCAGTATCACCGCCGCCACCGCCCTCACCACCACCACCTTCTCCTAAGGCTCCTCCGCCTGCCAGTGCCCCACCTCCAGTTTCATCTCCACCCCCTCCATCACGAGAATCTCCTCCTCCAGCCCCTCCTCCTTCCCCACCTTCTCCCCCTCCAGCAGTTTCACCTTCCCCTCCACCACCAGTGAAAAATCCATCACCACCCCCTGATTCTCCACCACCACCACCACCACCTGTTGTAAATCCGCCACAAAACTCCCCTCCACCTGCTGTATCAACACCCCCTCCAGCTTCACTGCCCTCTGCTCCTCCACCTGTCCCCTTAACATCTCCACCCCCTTCTATTTCTCCTCCTGCTCCTCCTAATAATGCATCTCTAGCTGGAGCTCCCCCTCCATTACCTGTGCCTCGCCTTCCTACAGAGAAGCCCACAGCTAAATCAACTACCCCTAACCCTGCTATCACTGCAGATTCAAGCCCCAGAAATGGTGGGGGAAATAGGACTGGAGGTGTAGTGGCAATTGGTGTTGTTGCTGGGTTTTTGGCCCTTAGCCTGGTGATTCTTGCTGTCTGGTTTACACGGAAGCGAAAGAAAAGAGAGAGTGCATTTAATCTCAATTACTTGGGACCCTCTCCATTTGCCGCTTCCTCACCAAATTCAGGTATTGCTTTGCATAGGTTCTTGAATTTCCTTATGGATTTTGTTGTGTGGAATTTGTTTATTGGCTAAATCATTCTACTTTGCCGGAGTAACTAAATGCATCCATCCTTTACCGAACTCTTCCTTGCATGGATTACTGTAGTGGTGACAAAGAACTATTGCATTTGAACCATAATGATCATTCTAAATAAAAGGAATTTGCTTTAAAGAACTACTGCCCTTCTACATCCTACTATCCCCAGACGCCACTTGTGGGATTACACCGGTGTGTTGTTGTTGTTGTTGTTGTTGCTTTAAAATGGTATATAAGCTCCTTATCAAAAAATGGTGTATAAGCTCTGTTTTTCGAAATTACAGACGGCCCATCTGTATTACTGAACATCGGAGGAATACTTTTGCTTCTTTGCATGAAAATTTACTCTATGCTTTTTCCTTTTGCTACAGAGTTGAGTGCAGGTGCACTCAGTAAAATTACTTTCTCAAGAAAACTAGAGTTTTGAACTTTTGTGTAACTTGGATATCTGTGTTCTCTTTTCACTTTCCATTTATTGATCAGCTTTGAAGTATAAAGTACGGGTCAGAAAAATTGATTTTCGCTGTGCCAATTGTGCAAATTTGTTTTCAAGTATTGTTTACAGTTTATTTTAAAAGTGTAACAACCCACCCTCTTCGCAGCTTTTGGAGCCATAATAAAATACTTATTTTTCCAGATACATCCTTCCTAAGATCAAGATCCCAACATTCTGCTTATCTAGCTGCAAGCGGCTCGCAAAGCACTTTTATGTACTCTCCAGAGCATGGCGGTATTGGAAATTCAAGATCGTGGTTCACTTATGAAGAATTAGCTGAGGCAACAAATGGTTTTTCCTCTGATAGTGTTTTGGGTGAAGGTGGGTTTGGATGTGTTTACAAAGGTGTTCTTAGTGATGGAAGGGAAGTCGCTGTCAAACAGCTGAAAAGTGGAAGTGGACAAGGGGAACGTGAGTTCAGA